TATTTTTATTGGAAAGGCAGATTTACAAAGAGGAGAAACAGAAAGATCCTCCATCCTCCCCAAGTGGCTGGAACAGCCAGTCTGAGTTGATCTGAAAGCAGGAGCCAGGAGCTTCTTCCAGGCCTCCCAAGTGGGTTCAGGGTCCCAAGGCCCTGGGCTGTCCTCGACTACTTTCCAAGGCCACGAGCAGGAGCTGTATGAGAAGTGGAGCAATTGGGACACAAACTGGGGCCTGCAAGGCAAGGACCATAGCCACTAGGCTATCATGCCAGTCCCTCAACAATTTAAGAGTGATAGTGAGCATTTGGCTCAACAGTAAAGACATTGTTTTAGGACATCCACATCCCATATTGAAAAGAGTGAATCCCAGCTCCGCTGCCAATCCAGCTCCCTACTAATGTGCCTGGGAAGCAACAGACAAGAATTCAAGTATTTGAGCCCCAGCACCAAGAGCCAGTCTGGGATCTGAGCATTTGGGCATTTGAAAACTGAACTGGTAGATGAGAGAGAGTCTGCCTTTCAAGCCAAGTGAAATACTGCTGTTTTCATAAAGAATAGAAGCTGTTCTTCATTCATTGGCTGAACAGAAACACATGGCAGGACAGATGTAATTCACCAACACCTGTTCTAAAACTTGAAAACTCTTGAGGGTGAGGGACACTGTGGCTGCTTGTGTTGCTCTACTTTCCCAAGCTGAAGATCACATATTGATCAATCATGCTATAATTCTAAACTATTAAACTCAACAACCGTACAGGTGTTTGGAAGTTCAAAGAAGCAGTGAGAGATGGAATAGTCACAAATCTTCAAAAGCCTTCAAACAAGGTGAATGCTGAAAGTTCCTGAGGAAGTGACTCCCAAAACGTGTTTGGACAGAGATCCAGCTGCATAATTTGCAGGATCTGTGGGGTCCCCTGTTCTAAAATCAGTGAAAGCACATCCTAGGAGTGTTAGAACATAACCTGTGTTCTTCTACTGCTGCATTTCCACTAGTCTTGGCTTTTTGCTACTTTGTCTTGGGGAGGCTGTCTTGGATTTGGTAGTTAATGCTATACTAAGTCAAGTTAAAGCTATTGCTTTTTATGCTTTGCATTGTCAGTTTTAAATTCAAGCATAAGAATAATAAACATGACTTACTCAATTTGTATTTTATAACTCACATGTGCTTAGCTACTTTGTTCTTACCAAAACCTAAAACAAATGCTTTTAACTGTACTTCTCTCTGTACATGCATTTTGCTGACGGTTTATTGATAAATAAAAAAGAAAAATGAGAAGAAAGGAATTGATGTTGCTTTATCTCTCCATACCATGTTTTTCAGCATACATGGTTGGCAAAAAGAGGAAGGAAGTGCATATAAGTGCACACAAGGGCTCTTTGGCCAGGCACGTTTCTTTGGGCATGAATGTCATCTTTGTGCATTTGAGGCATGTTCTGGTTTGAATGAGCATCCTGGCATCCTCAACCTACTCAATGCTGGACGTACTTACTTGATACTGACCGAATCACACTAAACATTTGCACATCCTGGACCTACCAGAGTGCATTGCATTCATCACCTGCTATGTAAGCAGCCAAGAACACGTGCAGACCATAAACTCACATGCTCCTTGGCTCACTCTTGTGCCCTAGGAGCTCATTGGAATCCACTGATAAGACACAAATCCAAAGATAAAAATCACTGGGAGTTGTAAGGTGGCAACAGAGCACATTAAAACAAGAATGGAGCCCTGCTGAATACGAAACCCTGAGTCCTATTTGAGAGACTGTGAACACTGTGGATGCTGAGCCATAGGTCGTTTTTGCTTTTGTGCAAGTATTTCCAGCTTGCGTTTGGGTGGAACTGTATTTGAAGAGTCTACAGGGTGAGGGCAGGAGGATTTCTTCTAGGGAACATGGAATAACACTAATGGAAAATATCATATATGAAATTATTGGACTGAGTTTCCCAGACTGGAAGCAGGTGTGTACATTCAATTTGTAAGATTTATAAGGTGTGTAAATTCAAATTTTCCAAGAGTAAAGCCACAACTATAAGCAATTATCAAACACCAATAACATTAATGTGGTTGCACTCTATCCCATCTCTGTTAGCAACAGAATGGTCTAAGAGCAGGAATGCCTGCCAGGTTGGAAACCCACACAATCTCTCACTCAGAAACTCTGAAACATGGGTTACACTAAACACAGTGGCATAGCTATACCTGGAAGGAAGGAAAAGGTGGTGAATGCCACATTTTCAACTTCTTTTTAAGAGGACAACATACAACATCTAAAGTAAGCAAACGTAAAAATGGGAAGAGAGAGATCAGAACAATAGTTTTAAGTGCCTATGGAAAGCAAGACTTGAAGTGCAACCAGACAAGCAGCAAGAGTTTGCTGTTGGCTTTTAAAGAAGATTTGTTATACTAATACTGTGTAAAAAAAATAATTTTTAAAATAATCAAAAGGTGATTATCAGGGCTTTCATTGTAAAATGTACATAAAATGCCGACAGAAAAATCCATCTTCAAAAAAGGCGTTCTGCTAGCTCCCTAACTAGTAATTTTTTTTCTAACTAGTAATTAAACAAGATGAGACACTTTAAAATGTCCCTCCACTACAAAACATACTAATGCATGAGCCAGTGTTGCAGTGCAGCTGTAAAGTCTCTACTTACAGAGCCGCCATCCCACGTTAGGATGTTAGTTTGAGTCCCAGCAGTTCTGTTTTCGATCCAGCTTCCTATTAATGCACCTGAGAAAGTGATGAAAGATGCTCTAAGTGCCAGGACCTCTGCTGCCCACATGGAGGACCCGGATGCTGTGCCAGGCTCCTGGCTGCAGCCTGGCCCAGGCCTCCTGGTGGCTGTCAAGGTCATTTAAGGAATGAACCAGCAGATGAAAGATCTCTCTCTCTCTCTCTCTCTCTCTCTCTCTCTCTCTCTCTCTCTCTGTCTCTCTCTGTATGTGTATGTGCATGTATGTCTTCCTCTCTCTGTTATTCTTTTAAATAAATAAATAAATGCTTGACCAGAAACAGCAAAATACCCTAATGCTGAGCCAATTACAATAAGTGTCTTTCCAGCTTCATTGCTGAATTCAAAAGAAGATAAAGCAAGCTATAACAGATAAAATAAAAACAAAAACAAAAACTGTAAATGGTGACCAAGCACAGAAGCTTGCTTCATCAGCCTCTGCCTTTCACACGGCAGTGTTCTCCAGTAAAGATGATCCTTGAGGTTCTGCTCAAGAGTGAAACCATGAGCACATGGAGACCCTGTATGTGTGTGTGTGCGTGTGTGTGTGCATGTGTGTATTTCTCTCAGAATGGTCATTTCTGAAGAATATTCTAGTGTATGCATCCAGAAATCTTTCCTCTAGAGTTCTTCAGTTTATCCAAAAGAAAAGACTCAACCAGCAAGACTGGCTACATAATTTATGGGTCCCAGTGCAAAATGAAAATGTGGAATGTGGGTGTTCTTGTTTCAAGGGTGAGGAAAGAGTTCAGTTGGAGAGAGTAAAACTTAACTTTCAAATATCATAGTATTTATAACAAGTAATAGAGGTGAACATACATATATCTTTGGAACCATAAAAAATGATTTTGTGTCATAATTTTATGTGATAGTAAACATTGCAATAACATTTAATAACATTGTTTCTTGATTGACAAAATTTTCTTGCCATCTTTGCCTGAAAATTCACAAAAACGTATGTTTTTAGCAGTGTCAGTATCAGTCTATATCATTGAGACTGATGTTCTTCATTCTTGGCAAATGCCAAGATCTCAAATAATTTCTTATCATTTTAAACTTTAAGAAGAAAATAAATCAGGTTGAACACTGGCAAAGAGATGGAGGGAAAAGAAGAAATTAAAGAGAAGAATGGCCAAGCAGCTGGGTAAGACCTTCACCAGTAAGAGTCTTAACTGCCAATTCCAAACTATGGCCAAAGGTAGGATGTGGGGAGCAACGGCAAGAACTGGAAGAAAAGGCAGTGGGGGAAGACACCAGAGACAAAGAATTCTCAGAAACCAGAGGTCCAAGATTCAATGAGACATGGCTGGACAGAACCAGACCTAACCAAGAAGACATAGAAGAACAAATAGAAGATACAATGACTAGCTGGGAGATGTGTGCTGATCAGAGACCGGAATCTCAGACAAGTGGAGGGACGCAATTCAAGAAAGAGTAGGAAGGTGAAAAGAGGAGGAAATAAATGCTGAAAAGGTTCTAGGAATTGACCATGAATGAGAAAAATGGAGAGATGTGAGAAAACTAGACACAGAAGGCGAACTGAGCAGCAGAGTCAAATCCTTCTGTTTTACAGGGAAGCAAACCAAGACCCAGAGAACCCAACAGACTGTCTTAGTCAAACGTGGCTAGCACCATCACGGATACAGAAAACTGGTCAAGATGAAACAGTGACTTCAGATAGATAAGGATCAGGGAAGACTGTCTGTCTCCAAAGAAGGTTCCAGTTAATTCTCCAGTTTTCACTTAGGACCTGGCCTCTTCCTACTGGCTCCATGGGCCCCTGGTCTTGACATCATTTTCACCATATTAATAGGAGGTGGTGACTGATCTGTTCCACCTACTGGAGAACATAAAATGCTGATGGTTTGGGCCAAGTAAAGGGAAATTCGTCCATCACATCTTTTTATTCCCATCGGAATCTTCTATTCCTGAAGGCTGGGAGACAGGAAGGGTTAGTCACACTGAATCTGAAACGCATCCCTATAATAATCTTGATACTACCCCTCCCTGCCCCATTCCAAAGATAACAAATTACCCCAAGGTAAGTATCTACCTGCAAAAAAAAAAAAATGGACACAGTAAGGTGAAGACATTCATTAAAGAAAAGAATCATCCAATTACAGGCAATTCAGAATGAGCTGGCAAACATCCCTTTGCTCTGAGTGGCATGGTCCACCAAGGAACACCCCAGTGATGTGCATATAAAGGCAGCCGGTGCTGAGCAGGACACATCCACACGCATCAACTACCCAGACTAGACACGATGTCCATGCGCTTCTCTTCCGCATCCCGACGCCTGGGCTCCTGTGGCGGAGCGGGCTCTAGTGTGCCAGGCTTTGGCAGTGGCTTCTCCTGCGCCTTTGGAGGCAGCTCAGCTGTGGGAAGCTATGGCGGAGGCCTGGGTGGGAGCAGTGCTTCTTGCGTCACTTATGCCAGCAGTGAAAATGGCCTCCTCTCTGGCAACGGAAAGGTGACCATGCAGAACCTCAACGACCGCCTGGCCTCCTACCTGGACAACGTGCGAGCTCTGGAGGAGGCCAACGCTGAGCTGGAGGTGAAGATCAAGGGCTGGTATGAGAAGTTTGGCCCTGGCTCCTGCCGTGGTCTGGATCATGACTACAGCCGGTACTTCTCCATCATTGATGACCTCGGGAACCAGGTAAGGCACACTGCCACGGGAGTGTTAACACCGTGAACACCAAGTTAGCCACACATGTGCACGCAGACATGGGAGGGGCCTTTGAAAAAGTTTGTGGTGCATATATATCCTACAGAAACCGATTTCAAAAACTGTGTATTATACCAAAAAAATCTTTGTGCCCAGATAAGCTCACCTTTGAATTGCCTTTTTTCCATGGACTTCTTGAAATCCCCTCATAAAAGCTATCATGGACTGCAGGGTTTTGACCTCAGTTTTCAAATATCAAGAGTTCATTATTGATATTTTTTTAAACACTTCTATTAAAATCTTTGAGTGTTGACCACCCATCATGTGATGTTAGGGTACATTATATTCTTACTAATATTAAAATATCAAAACTCGCCCAATGTGTCCACTATAAATCTCCTTGTAGGCTTTTTCATAGAAGCAATTTGTATAAATGGGGTGGGGATTAGAAGAGATCATGACATTTCTTATTTCATAAGAGTCAGCTATTACTAGAGACAAATGCCGGAGCTATTCCTGTCATTTCCTGGGTAACTTTATTTCAGGGAAAGTTGACATTTTGAATATTCTCTCACTCCTCACTCTGCACTAACTCTCCATCTGTCAGATCATTTCTGCAACCACAGGCAATGCCAATGTGGTTCTACAAAATGACAACGCCAGACTGACTGCTGATGACTTCCGACTGAAGTAAGTACAATAGAAGAGGTACATAAAAAATGTTTCAATTGCTTTTCTTTTTAAAAAGTTTGTTTGCTTATACTTTCGAAAGGTTGTATGACAGAGAGAGACAGAGAATAGTTTACCTTTCCAAATGCCCACAACAGCCAGTGTTAGCCCAGGCCAGAGCTACAAGTGAGTAACTCCATCTGGGTCTCCCATGTGAGTGGCAGTAACCCCAGGACTAAGGCCATCATGTGCAAGCTCTCAGACACATGAACAGGAAGTTGAATCAGAAACAAAGGAACCAGGACTTGAACCAGGAGTTCCAGTATCTCAAATGGCAACCACAACCCTCACCCCCTCTTTTATTTTTCATCATCTCCTTGAGGTGGGCTCAACTCTTTATTTCTGCTTATTCATGAGTTATGTTAAGCCACAGGTATATTAATATAACTAGTTGCTTAACATACTTGGGAGATTTGAGGGCTAACACAAGCGACTATGGAGCTTGTTGGTGTTTCCATCCTTGTCCAAGAAACGCACTTACGGCAGTAGGCAGGTAATCCAGTTACCGAGCTCTGTTTTGGGATGTGGATGTTTGGCCTAGTGGCTTAAACACTGCTTGGGATGCCTGCATCCTGTCGCATCATGCCTGGGAGTGCTGGCTCTGCTCCCAGCTCCAGCTTCCCATTAAGGAGCACCCTAAGAAACAGCAGCTGATGACTAAGGAGTTGGGTCCTTCCATCCATGTGGGAAACCAGGATAAGAGTTCCTGGCCCATGGCTTTGGCGTGGTCTGGCTCTGACTACTGCAGGCATCTGAGGATTGGACCAGCAAATGGAAGATGTGTATGTGTGTGTGTCTTTATCTTCAAATAGTTTTTCAAAAAATTTTTAACATAAAGCTTAGTTTGAGTATCATGATCTCAAAGGCATATAGCATAAGAGCAAATGACTGACCATGGACCTTCTAAATACTTTGCAAAGGTATGAGAATGAGCTGGCCCTCCATCAGAGCGTGGAGGCGGACATCAACGGGCTTCGCAGGGTCTTGGATGAGCTGACATTGTGCCGGACAGACCTGGAGATCCAGCTGGAGACCCTGACTGAGGAGCTGGCCTACCTCAAGAAGAATCATGAGGAGGTAGGCACTCCTCCTCCTCCCAGATCCTAACAGGTCAAGGAGGAGCTTTTCTCTGTGTGACTTGCTCTGAAATGCTTCTATCCATTCCTCTCAAGAGATAAATCCCACAATGAGATTCTAAATGTACCTCCTGCACCTGCAGCTCCTTTAAAAACGGTCAGGTCCTAGCAGTCATGTTTGTCTTTAATCTGGGAGTTGGTTATGACTGTGATCAGAGGATCAAAAACGCATTCATCTCTATACTTGTGTACATTTCTTAGACTACATATTGCATTTCAATGCAGTGTTTACAAACGCACATACATGCCTCACCAGCTGTAACACATCTCTTGCAGGAAATGAAGGCGCTGCAGTGCGCGGCCGGAGGCAACGTGAACGTGGAGATGAACGCGGCCCCTGGTGTGGACCTCACATTGATGCTAAACAACATGCGAGCCGAGTACGAAGCGCTGGCCGAGAACAACCGCAGGGACGCCGAGGCCTGGTTCAATGAGAAGGTGAGGGAGGCTACCTTAGGACGCGCGATGCTGGCAGCCCAGGTGTGGACGTGCTGGACGCGTGCTCACCAGCTCCTGCCCTTGCAGAGCGCATCGCTGCAGCAGCAGATCTCCGACGATGCGGGCGCCACCACCTCGGCACGCAACGAGCTGACGGAGATGAAGCGGACCCTACAGACCCTGGAGATTGAACTGCAGTCTCTTCTGGCCACAGTAAGCAGCAAGCACAAAACAGATTTACTTTAGAAATGGAGGGGACGCGGGGGGGGGGGGGCAGTCATTTTTTTCCCAAAGAAAGTTACTTATTTTAGGTTTCGTGCATGAATTACTGTGTTGATGTAAGACCCATTTGTATTTGGCAGGGGAGACTCCTGTTTTGCGGAGCTACATGCTGATGGTGATACATTAAAAATCAGCAAATACTATTATTTTGAAAGCTTTGAGAAAGAAAATAGTTTTTGCTTTGACTCTTCTTTCCCACGTCAAAAGATCAAAAGAACTGTCTAGGGGGAAAAAAAAACTGCCCCTCCTAGCTTCTTCATCTAGCATTCCTTTTGGCCACTTAATTAAGAACACTTCAAAAAAAAATTTTTTTAAACCACTTAACCGGTTTTTAAGTGGCACAAACAAACAGCAAAGTAGAGCTGTGAGGCTGAGTATAAAGCTAACCAGCAATAATGATAAGAATCGCTAGCTTCTGTGAAGGTTGGCCCAGTGCAGGTTAGTTCACAGCAATCCTGGGCCATGGGCGGGGCAGACTTTGTAACTCGTGTCATTATTTCCAAAAGAAGAATCTGAAATTCCAAGAAGGTATGTAGTTCCCCCAGTTTCACAAAGAAGTAGAGTTTGGCTTTGAGTTTTCCTAATGTCCAAGTCTTTATCTTACCCATTACCATGGCTGGGAAATACTGAGAGTTTATTTACAGGAGAAGTTGGGAATGTATCTAAAGTTAGCACATTCTATAAAAACACTAGCAGAAATCTAGCATAATTGTCAAAAAAAAAAAAACCCACTAGCAGGTGTTTTTACAGGGAGTAAGAGTCTGTTTCCTCTATTCGTGTAAAGTGACAGCAACTGCTCCTTCTGTGGATCTACGTAAAGCCACTTGGAGTCACAAGCCAGCACATCTTTCTGGAGTGTGAAAAGATCATTGATTTCCTTAGCCCAGTCTGCTCATGCCAAGTTTCACTTAGCTTCTAGATTGTTTTTTTGTTTGTTTGTTTTGTTGTTTTGTTTCTTGTGGAAGAGCTAGTCTGCATGAGCAAAAGCCTTTACAGGAGTAGAAATGAGGTAGCAAAGTGTAGGAAGGGTGTTAACTCCCAGGGAGAATGGCAAATTGTGGCAGACACTTTGAGGACGGGCTGTTTTAGTGCAGAAAGCAGCATCTTTAGACTCTACCCTAGGACAAGATGACTTCATCTTCTCTAGCAGTTTTGGGCGACCGGGCAACATTTGTCACCAACTCAGAAAACTTGTATAGCATCTAATGAAAGTGGTGATAGACACCGAGCAAGTGGATCCTCAGGGCACATGTAACTTGCGTTGTGTAAGGGTGACACTGTTCTCTTCATTGTTTGGGCTTCTGAAATAATGATGCTGGGACATTTTCTAATACATGGCGTCCTCACCAAACCACAGAAACACTCGCTGGAGTGCTCGCTCACAGAGACCGAGGGCAACTACTGCACGCAGCTCGCACAGATCCAGGCGCAGATCGGGGCCCTGGAGGAGCAGCTGCACCAGGTCCGCACTGAGACCGAGGGCCAGAAACTCGAGTACGAGCAGCTCCTGGACGTCAAGGTCCACCTGGAGAAGGAAATTGACACCTACTGCCGCCTGATCGATGGAGAGGATGGGTAAGGATCTCCTCCGCTGAGAGAACAACCTGGTGTAAGGCTATTAAAGATGATCTGAAATCCAGTATACCTTCAGTTGTCTCATAAGTGCAGTTGCTTAAATCACTGCCTCTCAGTTTTGTCAATGAAGCAAAGGGGAATCATTCATGTGTGCTGTGTTTTCACAGTTCTTGTTCCAGATCAAAAGGTTACAGAGAACCAGGAAGTCAGATCAAAGGTAGGCAGAAACAATGTTAAACATTCAAGGTTTCTTGCTTATCTATTAAGTGATGAATGGTTTCTCCCTTAAGAAACTGGTCAATTCAAATGGCTCATGCATGTCCCTTTAGACACACCGAAAAGCAGCATTGTGAAGACCGTCGTGGAAGAGATAGATCCTCGTGGCAAAGTCATCTCATCTAGAGTTCATACAGTGGAAGAGAAGTCCCCCAAAGTCAACAGCAAGAGCGAACCACGAGTGTCTTCCTGAGCTCCAGTCCCCTGAAAGGAACAGCTCCTGAAGTCGAACACCAAATCAAAACCAGCCCTTTTATTTTTCTGCTTTCCTTCCAGCACTATTTTAGAATAGTAATACTTCCTTGATTTTCTCTCCTTGTGGTATCTCAATAAAACTTCTCCTGTTTGCAAGTCATCTTACCTGGTTCTGATCCTTCTTTGCACCAAAGATTTTAACATTTGTGTTTATTTGAGAAGCAGAGCCAATGGCTAGGGCTGAACTGACCAAAGCTGGGAGCCAGGAACTCCATTTGGGTCTCCCATGTGAGTGGCAGGAATCCAACTATATGGGCCATCATTGCCACTTCCTAGGGTGCACATTAACAGAAGTCAGAGCCGGGCCCGGCGCCATGGCCTAGCAGCTAAAGTCCTCACCTTGAACGCACCAGGATCCCATACGGACCCCGGTTCTAATGCCAGCAGTTCTACTTCCCATCCAGCACCCTGCTTGTGGTCTGGGAAAGCAGTCGAAGATGGCCCAAAGCTTTGGGACCCTGCGCCCACGTGGGAGACCCGTAAGAAGTTCCTCGATCCTGGCTTCGGATCAGCATAGCACTGGCCCTTGTGCTCACTTGCAGACTGAATCGTCAGACACAAGATCTTCAGAGCTGGATATCAAATCCTATCACTCTGATACGGGGTGTAGACACCCTAACCAGCCTGTTAACCTCTAGCTTAAATACCAGCATCCATCTTTGCATTTTAAGTATACTCTCTGGTGCCTTTAATTTCTTCCAATTAATTTAATAGTCTTCCAAAATGAAGAGCAAATTTATCAGGCAAACGAACTGGAGTCTCTTTTTCTCTACACTGAGATATTTTTCTCCCTTCCATCTTCAGTAAATGTTTATTGATCACAGGCACTAGGTAATAAAAACAGAAAGAGTTAATAAAATCCAACTCCTGAGTTCAACATGCTCATGGAAGTGGGGGATAAGAAATCAGAGTCAGAAGTATCTTTTTTTTTTTTTTAAGATTTATTTCTTTTTATTGGAAAGGCAGATTTACTGACAGAAGTATATACAGAGATAATATAGGCCACACACAGGGAGCTGGATGGGAAGTGGAACAGCTGGGACACAAAACTAGTACACATATGGGATCATGGTGTTTGCAATACAAGGATTTAACCTCTGAGCCATCACGCCAGGCCTGGAATATCTTAAAGCTAAATGAAAAGTGACATTTGAAGGGAAAAGAGAGATGTGGGGACTAGGATGAGAGGATAATTCCAAATTCATTTCATCATGAATGTCAGGCTTCACCAGCACCCCCCCAGATTTTTTGTCACCCAAGGACACGGAGCAAGGTGTCTTCAAATCAAACATAACTTTAAGGGAAAGAGTCTTACTTTAATCCATGGTTTAAGACTTCACAGGGATAGAAACTTACTTGAAGATGAGACAGTCTGGGTCCCACACACCAAACTCACGACAGCTTGCTTTTCCCCGACCTGGTCCCATGTTCCTGCTCTCCACTGAGCTAGCCTGAACAGCTGAATCACACCCACCTGCAAGCTGTCTTCCTCCTCTCCTTCCCAATCATGTGTAATGTTGTCCAGATGAACCTACTCCAAAGACTTAACCTCCTGATTAACCAGCCCCCACATCATACGCCACCCCCCATTCATCAAAATCAGGAGAAAACATCCGCCTTTGTGGGTCCTTCATCAAACGTACTTTGCTTTTTCTTGGAAGACAATGGAACAATTTCTTCCAAAAGTACACATTCTCTTACCATACGAGAAGTTTACCAACAGAAGTTGGAAATGTATTCTGTGCACAGAAATGTCCACAGTCACTTCCTTCATAACTGTCCAAATGTGAAAGCCACCAAGATGTCCTTGAGTAGGTGAGGGGACAGATTGTGATGGACAAGGGACCATGCAGATCTGCCACCATGCATGAAAAGCCATGAGTAAGGAATCTCTAATGTGTATCACTAAATGAAAGAGGCAAATCTGGAAAGCCTTCATACTCTAATTCTCCACCGACATGAAATTCTAGAAAAGGCAAAATTACAGAGACAGTACCAAAATCAGTGCTTAGCAAGGGCTGGTAGGGAGGGATGAGTTAAGGGGGGCCAAGAGGATTTTTAGGGAAGTGAAAATGTTGCATGACACCATAAAGGTACATCATTACACATGTGACTCCCATAGAATGCAGAGTACTGAGACTAAACCTCTAGTATCAACCATGGACTCAGAACGACAATGATGTAGAGTTATCAAGTCAAGCAAGCGCATTGTTCTAATAAAGGATGTAGATGATGGGAGAAGCTATACAGAGAGTAAATGTATAGACTGAGAAATGGGAAATTTCTACTTACCTCCCAGTGACTCTGTGAGCCTAACACTGCTCTAAAAACCAAGTTACACTTTTTCAAAAATGTTTGAACATCCCAGATTTATTGGCACTTGAGATGCCTCACCTTCAAAAAGAACAGGATTAAGAGGATGGGTGGTTGTATTCAGGACTCTTTAACAGAACTTCCAGGAGAGAATCCTTACTACTTGACAACCAGCATTTAGTGTGTGCTGGAGTTTGTTGTAAGCATCATTTAACTTGCACAACAGCCTGTAGGATAGGTGCAAATGTCATTATTTAGAAACCAAGGCAGAAAGCAGCTGAAAAATTTGCCAAGGTCACACAGCCAATAACTGGAGGTGCTGGGATGCTGACCAGATGGTCTGGCTTAGGGTCTATGTGCTCTCCCATGGTGCTGAGAACCCTTTACCACCACCTTCTGGCAAAAGAAAAGTAAGGAGACCAAATGTATGCTGAACCTAGTCACCCTGAGATTGGCAGCATTCTGAATGTCCTTCCCAGCCACATGGGGAAGGAAACAGGACAGTCAGAATCCAGTTCCCAAATACAGTACGATCCAGTGATAAAATAAACTTCACTTATGTTCAAGAAAAGTGTCCCTCTCTATTCTGCTAAAAGAAATGTAGAATGTGAATTTTAAACAATGACCTATTTGAAACTAAACAAGAAATTGGGGGGGGATTAGCATACAATTATTAGACTAAATCATAAGGTTTGAGAAAAATTATCCCAAAATAAGGAGACATCAACACTGTTTAACTTAAAGTTCAGTTCAGTTGTGTTAAATACTTAGCTGTACTTACTATATAGCATGCTAATATCCTCATCGAACTCAAGAAATAATAATTCCATACTGAACACCAATTTACACAATGAGTAGAATGATCATCTAGGAGAAGACATATATGGATAAAAGTGATAAGAGAATTTGTCAAATCTAGCCCCCACTTCTAGAAAGAACTAAAGCATACTTAAACTTTTATACCAACTGTTAGGCTGAGAGAAATCTGTGATTAAAAGAATCCAACAGGGGCCTGGCGTGGTAGTCTAATGGCTAAAGTCCTTGCCTTGCACACACTAGGATCCCAAATGGGTGCCAGTTCGCATTCCAGCAGCTCTGCTTCACATCCAGCTCCCTGCTTGTGGCCTGGGAAAGCAGTCGAGGACGGCCCAAAGCCTTGGGACCCTGCACCCACATGGGAGACCTAGAAGAAACTCCTGGCTCCTGGCTTTGGATTGGCACAGCTCCAGCCATTGCAGCCACTTTGGGAGTGAATCAGCGGACAGAAGATCTTCCTCTCTGTCTCTTCTCTGTATGTCTGACTTTCCAATAAAAATAAATAAATCTTAAAAAAAAAAAAAGAAAAAAGAAACCAATTGATAAGCAGGTAAGTGGTGACATTTCGCAGTTATGTGCCGTGCACTCCAGGCTCTGATACAGAAATGCCCTACAATCTGTGTCACTGCTTAGCCTCCAAGTCAACTCATCTCAAGAATAACATGTGCTTAACTCAGTTCACAAAAGACTGTTAATTAGTATTTGTAAACCCCCAAGAGATACATAGATTACACTAATAATACTCTGCAGCTTCATAACATCTTTTATCTCAGAAACTCAAGCCTATTGTCTATTGCACTAACAATGTACTGTTTTCTTGTTCTACCCATGGGAAACATGAGAAAAGGATTTGACCAAGTCATGACAACATCAGTATTAAGTTCCTGCCTATGAGCATGCCTCTTAACTTACCATACACTCTTCCAAATTCTGGTTTTGGATTTATTATTTTTAAACATTTTTTGGTCCAAAAATATTCTAGATATTTTCATGACAATAATACTGGGTGTTGTCCAAAGTATTTCATGTCCATAACACTGAACAATCGGATGGGATGTTAAAATGCCGCATCCCACGTTCGAGTATTGATTCTCAGCTCTAGTTCCTGACTCCAGCTTCCTGCTGGTGCAGTGATGGTTCAAGTACTCAGGGTTTCTGCTGCCTGTACAGAAGACCTGGATCAAGATCCTGGCCTCAGCTTCAGCCAGAGGCCATTGTGGACAACTTGGAAACGAACCAAATGAATAGGAGTTTCTCGCTCCTCGCTCTCTCTTTCTCAAAAAAGAGAGAGAATATATACACACACACACACCTCATTCAGAAAAGTCATTACCATTTCAAATCCAAACTTATAATCAGTTCACCAATCAATTCATTCCATTTCCTTTTTTTTTTTTGTCATGGAATTAATTGACATAGTAATTCATTCCATTTTCAACGATAGAGACCTTACCCTGTCTGGCATGTCCACGTTATTATAATGATTTAAATAATTAACATTTACAAAATGTTTGAGCCCTTCAGACTGTCTTACACTCCTTCATTATTGGTGCTGCTCAACATTCATTTGAGACTGTTTGCTGATATTATTTTCATTTGCCTAGTAGGGAAACGAAACACAACAAGCCAGGGGAAATTCCCAAGGCTCGGGAATAGTCTCGGGATGACAACTAATCATTCATCTGGTCTACCATAAGCGGTAGTGACAACACCCCTTTCCTTCACCTGTTTCACTCCACAGGATACAATATGAGGCTCACTTCTCAAAATACTGCCTTCAATACATACATTTAAAGTTAACAACCGACAACAACATCTTCGAGTAAAACAGTCAATAATTTGGAGGTTCAGTTATGTGAATTGGTGGTCTGCTTCCAGACCAAACCACATTTTGCAACAAAAATACTTCTCCTTCAACATCACTTATTTATAAATTTTAGTGAGATTGATAGGAAAGTTACATAGGACCTCTATGACTTCAGTTTTCAACTTTAAAAAGATAGATAATGAGAATCTCTGATTTTATTAGGAAACATTTGAGCTCACCGGGTAGAGAGCAATGCCAATATTGTGGCACAGAATCAAGCCACTGCCTAAGATGCCAACATCCAATACAAGTACCAGCTTGAGTCCTAACCACTCCACGTGTGATCCAACTCCCTGCTAACATACCTGGAAAAGGCAGCAGAGGATGGCTCAAGTGACTGGACTTCTGCACCCATGGGAGAGACCTAGCTGACATTCCAGGCCCCCAGCTCTGGCCTGGCTCAGCTACAGCCATTGCAGCCATTTGCAAAGTAAACCAGCAGATGGAAGATCTTTCTCTCTGTGTCCTTCTGTCTCTGTAACTCTGCCTTTAAAATCAACAAATATATTAAAAAAATACTCAGCACAATAAAAATATTCCATTCAAATTTGTAGCAAAAGACACTTCTCATTGGACTTACTCATTCTCTGTTAGGAGAAGGGGAAAACTTGACCCTACTCCAGAGGTCAAAGAGATAAACTACACATTTACTCATATTTAATGCTGACCTTTGAGGCTATGATTTCACATTCCACCTGGCACCTTTTTCACATATAAAAAATATCCTTGGAGCCACTATGCCGCCTACAAATGGGACACTATTAAAGATCACTCAATTATGAAAAACAACAATTAGGGTACAAGTAATATTTCATTACAGATCAGTACAGATGAGACCAAAATGAGCACTGAATACTATAAAAGGCCTGTGGCACCAGCCTCTGTGAAAGGCTTTCTTGGACTTTGCTTCTCCCCAGGAAGAAGACACTCGGCTTTACTGTCGCTATGTCATTCCGACTTTCTGCTGGGTCCAGGCGGATCTGCTCCCGAGCTGGATCTGTAAGGCTGTCCAGTGCAGGGACCGGCTTTGCACCTGCAAACCTGTGTGTTGGGTCAGGGGCAGACAGCAGCTTTTCTAGTGCCTTTGGGGGCATTTCTTCTGGGGGAAATTCCTGCAGTGTTGGTGGAGGGTCAAGAAGCGGCATGTCTGCTGGCTTTCTGGCCAATGAGTTTGGCCTCCTCTCTGGGAATGGAAAGGTAGCCATGCAGAACCTCAACGACCGCCTAGCCTCTTACCTGGACCATGTGCGTGCTCTGGAGGAGGAAAATACATACCTAGAGCAAAAGATTAATGGCTGGTATGAGAAATATGGACCAGGCTCTTCCCGGGGACTTGATCATGACTACAGCAGGTACTTTCCAGTCATTGAAGATCTGAAAAGTCAGGTAAGAAATACAGCTCTGTATCCTTTATCGGCAATTTTGAGATGCGCATACACAAAAAAAGTGGAGAAAATATAAAATGCAGTCAAAAAATATGTGACATAAAATTTGTTGACACTATTTCCAGTGCTGAAGGCAGTGCCTGGCACTGAAAAATCTATAGAAGTAATAGGAGATAAGTAGTCTCCAAAGAGATGCAGACACTTCCCAAGTGTTCATAGGGGATTGACTCCAGAATCTTCCTGCAGATAACAAAATCCGTGGCTACCCAGGTCCTTTATAAAAGATGGCCTGGCATTTGTATAAATCCTACATAAATCCCGCTATAGTCTTTGAATCGTCTCTAAATTGCTTACGATGTCTGATGCAAAGTAAAAGCTACACACTTGGTCGTTATACTATATTGCTTATGAAATATAGACAAGAAAAGTCTGCAAAGGCTTTTTTTTAAAAGGCATTTTTTTAAAAAATATTTTGCACCCATGGTTGGTTGAATTTGTGGGTGGGGAATCCATGGTGCAGAGGATTGACTATGCCATGCCTTTTGGTCAAGATGATAAAAGTATCCACCTGACTCTTAAGCTCAGATATTTCTTATTATTGAAGAAAATACAGGCACTTTCCATGTAGAAAAAAAGAGGGGGTAGTTTAAGAATGCTTAATGGGATAAAAATAGAATCACATTAAATCTGTAAGCACCTTTGACTTTTGGTATTTAACATTTTGCACAATCCACCCTTTAGATCATTGCTGCAACCACTAATAATGCCAGCATTATTCTAGAAAATGACAACGCCAGATTGACCGCCGATGACTTCAGACTGAAGTAGGTGAAAAATACGGTGATTGATTATGTTCATAGTTGGATTAGGGAATATATATGATTTACCTTTAAGTCAAAATGTTTCAGTAAGGCTAGCCTAGATCAATGAAGAAATTGAATTCCAATGATCTTATAAAAATAGCTAGCCACACCTGCAAGTTTTTAAAGGTTTACTTGAACGTACATACAATGTTGACTAAAACCTGGAAAGGATTGAGAGGGATCAAAAAGGGGGTTGAAGAAAGGGAATCAAAACACAGTTAGAGAGGAGTGCTCCACAGGACAATGTGGTGAGACCTGTTCACTCATAATGTATGAAGCATATAGCAGAGAGAGACAGAGAGAAAGAGAGACAGAGAGAGAATAAGAAGGAGGAGGAGGAGGAGTTAAAAACTCCCAGCATTTTATTCATCTTTTGAGCATGCTGGATGGCAAACATCAACTAAAGACACAATATCCCAGCATAATAGTCCAAAACCAACAGGTGTCTCAAACTGTTTGAACAGTTTCCAATTGCCTAAAACTTCAAAATGGTGGACAGCACATGCCTTTCCGCACATGAAATGCCTTTTAAAGTTGCACTTCGCTGCTGCCTACGGTTACAACTCTCAAGCACCTTCATCACTTCTAGGTACGAAAACGAGCTTGCGCTGCACCAGAGCGTGGACGCCGACATCAATGGTCTCCGTCGAGTGCTGGACGAGTTGACCTTGACCACCACAGACCTGGAGATCCAGTATGAGGCTCTGGGGGAGGAGCTGGCCTATCTCAAAGCAAACCACCAGGAGGTAAGGAAGCCTGTAGTTCTGGCTTCACCCATGTCTGATTCCCTATTTCCAGCTTGCTTCCACACTCTATGACAGGCCGCCACAATCAAAGACAGTCCCCAGCTGTGGGTAGGAACACGAATCGCTTTTACAGGAAATGCAAGTCCTGCAGAGTGCATCCGGAGGGAACGTGCACGTGGAGATAAACGCAGCCCCCGGCGTGGATCTGACCCTCCTGCTGAACAACATGAGGGCCGAGTACGAGGAGCTGGCGGAGGAGAACCGCAGAGACGCTGAGGCCAGGTTTAACGAGAAGGTACTTCCGCGGCGGATCGCCCACGGATGGTGGGTTCGGTAGACAGTCACGCAGGTCACTAACCCTGTGGAAAACGACCCTTCAGAGCGCATCGCTGCAACAGCAGATTTCGGATGATGCGGGAGCAGCCACAGCAGCCAGAAACGAGCTGACGGAGCTGAAACGCAGTCTGCAAACCCTGGAGATAGAACTGCAGTCCCTCCTGGCAGTGGTAGGATGGAATGTCTGTTGAATTGCATGTGTCTGGGTGTGAGAGTGTGTGTGTGTGCCTGTGTAAATGTGAGTACATGTATATGTGGATCTGTGTGTATATGTGAATGTGTGTGGTGTGTTTATGTGTGAGTTTATATATATGTATGTGAATATGTATATATGTGTGAGTTTGTAAATATGTGTGTATGGGTATGTGAGTGACTTATGCATGTGAGTGTATGTATATGTATGCATGTGTATGTATGTATGTGTGAGACTGTATATGTACCCGTGTGGGAGCGTGTGCACGTGTCTGCCTGACTCTGGGTATTTAGAGGTTTATTTAGTTCACACTTTGGGAGACTGACAGTCCAAACTGCGTGGCGCTAGCTTTGGCGAGGGTCCCATTGACAGCTTCACAACACAGATGACGTAGATGACAGCATGGCAGGAGTGCGAGCGAGAAAGAGAGCTCACCTGGCAAGACAGAGAGCCAAGGAGTGGCAGTGGGGCTAGGGGACCAGAATCAGGCCTTTATCACGAGCCGCTGGCAGACCCCCATATAAAAACCCTGAGAGCAGCACCCTCAGTGCCCGTTTACTGCTCATCAGCTCCCTCCTCTTGCCACACTGAGGCCCTAACTTGCAGCACATGAACCCCTGGGGTACACTTAAACCGCATCCAAACTTCAGCCACGTGGATGTGTGGTCACAGTAAACAGTAGGTATGTAATAAATGCATGTGTATAAGCAAATAGATGTAATAAATACAGTGACTACATTATGTAACTATGTGTATCTAAAACTAGAAAGACTATTAAAATACATTACAAATCTCTCCAAAAACACCACTTCTGAGTCATCAACAGAAAAACTTCAAAAAGGACTTTTCTCAATGGCGAGTGTTTTTCTAATCTTCAGAATGATCATTTTTGACGAAGAATATCTAAACCTGTACAAATATTTCTTTTCACCTTGAGACTGTTTTTGTTTCTCCCTCAGAGATTTATTGATGATTGATTCGGAAGGAAGAACTTCAGAGAGGGAGAAACAGTTTAAGATCTTGCATTCACTGGCTCACTCCCCAAATGACCACAACAGCCAAGGCTGAGCCAAGCTGAAGCCAGGAACCAGGAGCTTCTTCCAGGTCTCCCAGGTGGATGGCAGGGCCCCACCTTCACAAACACATTAGCAGGACACTGGATTGGAAGCAGAGCAGCCAGCAAGCCGCAACTTTGACATGGGATGTGGCGAAGCCGATTGCAGCTTAATGTGCTGTTCCGCCTGACAGCCCCGGCATGAGATTGGTAAAAGCCTAACCTGCTGGTTTCCTTTGCATGTTCAAACCTCCCTTCCTTCGCTTCTCTTCTAGAAAGAGTCCTATGAGTGCTCCTTGGCAGAGATGGAAGGAAACTACTGCCTCCAGCTCCAGCAGATCCAGGACCAGATTGGGGCCCTAGAGGAGCAGCTGCAGCAGATTCGGACGGAAACTGAAGGCCAGAAGTTGGAGCACGAGCAGCTGCTCGACATCAAGATCTTCTTAGAAAAGGAAATTGAGACGTACTGCAAATTACTAGATGGGGAGGAGAGGTGAGTATTAACCTGGGAGCCCACCAATGAGGTTTTCACAGTTTGGTAATAAAACATCCTGGAATTTCCTATTCAGAGGATCACACCAAGAGATACCCCCCGTCATGTCCTGCAGGGTTCCCAAGTGAAGCAAAAACAGAGACAAGACCATATAGGAAGTACATGCATAGTGATACATAGGACATCAACATAAAGATAAAATATTTAGCACGGAAGCATGGCCTTCTGTGGCTTAGCGTTTAAGCACGCTTCTTAGAATAATTCCGTGTTGCTATGACTTCATGCTACCCCTACTTGCATACCAAGTCAAAGATGAGGAATGAAGATTAGGATGATTTCAGTGGGGGAGGGGACACAGTTTGGCGGCCAAGAGCAACAGACCCAGAATTGTAGCATGAGTCACCTGCTGAGTGAATCTGAGCACATTGCTTCACCTCTTGAACCCCTAGTTTCCTCGTTGGTAAAACTGTGATGACACCGAAACCAGCCTCTTACCCACTCTTGGCTGCCGAGCCTCACCGTAAGGGTAGAGTGCTTGTGATGGTGGCTTGCATGCCAAAGACACCCAGTAATCAGTAACTATTACTGTTTAGCCATGGTCACGCCATGACTAAGCTATGCCTTGGGCATCCTCCAAGGCCAAGGTCAGCCCTCCTCAGAATACATCACCTATTATCCCACTCATTTTTCCCTTCCATGACAGCACCTTTCTTGCCATGGTAGCAATAACTTCTTCCTAAAGGATTGGTTTATTTTACTTGAAAGTCACAGAAAGAGATCAAACTTGTATTCACTGGTTTGCTCCCAAAATGACTGCTATAGTCAGAGGCAGACTGGTCTGAAGCTAGGAACAAGGGGCTTCTTCTGGGTCTCCTACTTGGGTACAGGGATTTAAGGACTTGAACCCTTCTCTGCTGTCTTTCCAAGTGCTTTAGCAAGACACTGGATCAGAAGTAGAGCAGCCAGGATAGGAACTGGTGCCCAAATGGGATGCAAACACCACAAGTATAGGACTAGCTGATACACCATGGCACTTGCCTCTACAGACAACTTCTTACATAAATATACTTTCTTTCCAACACTGTAAATTGTTTGCTTCTTGGCTCCATATTTAAAATTTATTTTATTGATGTAAAAGACAGAGAGGCAGAATTCTGTCAGTTTATTCCCCAAATGCCCACAATGACCGGGCTGGGCCAGGCTGAACCCAGGAACCTGGAAGTCCATCTGTGTCTCCCAAATGAGTGGCAGAGACCCACGCACTTGCACCTTTTTCTGTGACCTCTCAGAATGTGCATTAGCAGGAAGGTGACTTGGAAGCAGAGCCACGACTTCAACCCATGCAGGCATTTCCAGTGGCATCCTAATCACTGATCCCAATGCCCAGACCAAGCTCTGTGTTTTTAGAGCACTTAGCCCAGGATTTCCACGTAATGGGCACACTCCATGCACCAGCAGCCAGTTGACTGAAACATTAGAATGAGAACGTGATGATGTGCCTACATTGCTACATGAAAGAGATGATATCTGAACACAAGGAACTTTCTGTTCACAAAAGCCCATTTAATAGCTTCTTTCACTGTGTTCAAGTCATTAAAAGCTTCCTCGTGTCCCTGAGTGTTAAGAGGAAATTGAATCTTACTAAAGCTAGAACTCTAGACCTCTTATTCCCAATCCATCAACACTGATGCGCTCCTAACTAAAAAAGGGGGAAAAAATGCAAGAATTTACCCTTTTCTTCCCAGGAAAAGCATATCCGTGTGTCCTCGATCAGATGGACCCAAGCCCGGAAACTCTGGAAATGCTGTAAAAGGTACAGAAGGCTTTTCATTTGACTCAACTCTTTTAAAGTCCTTTAGTCTTGGTAAAGAAGTCACTTTCGTTTACATCGAATTGAGTTTGTTTCTAAGTTTAGTTCTAATGAATGAAACAACGAGTGTTCATTACAATAATTACTAATATCATATTCCTATAAAACAGACAGGGAATCATGGAAATGAGTCGAATGAAAAGTGAATCCTCCCCAACATCTTTGTGCCCTGGATCATAGAATTTTTTCCAGTTGCAACGCCTTCATAAAATAGCTCCTTTATTTGAAACCACAAAAATAGGGCAAGCTTTGATGTTTCAAAAAAAGACAGCATGCCTTGCTCTAGGTTTACATTTACCTAATAAAGTTGGTTTAATTTGTGTTTCATTCATACTTTCTAAAATCACTGTTTAATATAACGGTAATCCAAAAGTTTGCAGAAAAATTGAATTAAAAGATGAATCTTAAAATTGTTTTGAAATTCATGCATAGCTTTTTCACAACATACAAGGAATTCAAGGAATTTCCGAAGAGCCTCATGGATTTCAAAATTTTTTGCATCAAAATAAACTTATTCTTAAATTCCATTTTCCATGGACATTTTTAAACTTCCTGTACAGAAGCTACTTCAGAGCCTTGCTACCTGTTGACACCAAACACGGTACTCTCTCAGTATGCTGTGAACTTATGAAAACTATGTTCCAGAAACATACAGGTCAAGATTTAATCCCTTTAGCCTGCTACAAATGAGCACTACCTTTCGTTTATTTTCTTTCAGACACGGCAGAAGAAACAGTCGTCAAAACAGTGGTTGAAGAACTAGATCAACTTGGCAATGTCCTTTCCCTAATCGTTCATTCAGTTGAAGAAAAATCCTCTAAGATCAGCAACATTACAGTGGAGCAACGGGTACCTTCTAAAACACCATAATGAAGAAAAGGTCATGATTTTTAAAAAGAGAATGAAAGAAACCCTGTCTTTGCAAAAATCCCATTCGTCAAATAACCCAAGGAAATCATTCATTTCTGCCATGTTCTTGCCCTGGAATCCTTTCAAGAGAAGGAACTCTGATCTCTTCTCAGAGTCTACTTTCTTTTCGGGGACTTTTCTTTGCCATTTCATTAACAATCTTCTGCTTGAAGTTATTTTTTATCCATCTGGTTCTTTCTTCTGTTCTGCAGCTCTAGCTCATAGGGACAATTCTCAGGATGTGCTCACAAAATAATATGTTCCACTCTGCAGTTACATTTATCTCACTTCACAACAGAATTCATTGCAAGGGCCCTAATTTCTCATCCTAAAGCTCTACTGATGGACTTTGCAAGTGACTTGATCTTGGGCTGCTAGGGTGGTAAAAGAAGAAGAGGCTAGCTGTTGATTATCAGGATTTGTTCACCTTCACAATGCCCAGTCTGGGTAGATGACCAGCAACCCTGCTGGACTGAAGCTGAATCTGCATAGCTGCTCTCTCTCTCTCTCATTGCAGCATCACATGCATCTCTTGGCCTCCGTCATGGTCATGACCAAGTGGATGTGGACCTTCATCCCTCAAGTGCAGGTGCATTTTCAGTCTTGCTCATAGTCTACCTGGTATCCTTGCTGAGCTATTTGGTGAAACAAGTTCTAGGCTAGTAGGGGGTTTTTCATTTGGGGTGGAATGAGGCTGGAAGCTCTGCTATCTCCTTGATCTCCAACTCACCCAGCAGGGCATCACCGAAGGGTTTTAACTAACTGGTACATAGAGAATTTGGGATTCAAAACGGCCTGTACACACAAAACTGGGCCACTGTAATTGCATCTCCAACTCTCAAAAATAGCCTTGATTGCCATTGCTTTCTGCTCGTCAGTAAGGTAGTTGATCTCAGCCCAGAAACAATTGCTAGAGATGGTAGATAGAGCTGAAAGACAGGGTCTTCTTGTGATGAATGGCTGCAACCATGGAGGTAGAGTTTCAATGGCGTGGAGTTTCTAAGTCAGTTTAGAACCGAATACGATTGCTGGTTACTGGATGTCTTTCTCTTCAGTCTATGGCTTCTGTCACTCTGCTTCCTTACTCTCTCATTCTGACTAGCAGGGTCTCCCCCAGGTTCTGTCTCTCAGGAATTGGAGGATCAATGCTACATCAGTTCACTGAAGACTCATGGCTGACTCGTCAGCCTACACACGTAGTGCTGGCCCTCCTTTCCCTCGTGACCACAAATACTTATCAGTTCTTGTTTCCAGTTGAGTTCCTACTCTTTCCAAGAACAATCCAGCTAAATTCTGTTTATCTGGAGCTACCCATTCCTACTTAAACAGATAACAGAACTTGCCTATCTGCCTTAATGCAAGCACAAATCATGACTCAAAAAAATGAGCTTTCAATAAAAACTTTACTCCTTAAAGCTATAAAACTTACACATTTTTCTTTGTTTCGCCAAAATCTGTATATCAAAATCTAAAAACTGAAGATTACCACCAATGATTGGCAAATTTCAAAAATGTCTATCAGACATCTTTAATTATGAGTTATCAATGATAAAAACCAAAGAGGAGGTAAAAAGAAATCCACATGTATATGAATTATAACAAAAATGTAAAATCTAAAAATAAGGTCTCCAAACATCAGCCAAAGGAGAAAAAATTATATTATGTTCAAGGGAATGAGAGTGCTGAGTTCACACCCACCTCCCAGATGGCAGGAGAATCAAAGAACTCAGAGAAATTTGAAATCAGCAGCAGCTTAATAGAAAGTGATCAACCCCAATAATAACTAGAGAATTACTAGATTAGAACCATATATGATACCGTCACACATCCACATGGCATTTCACCACAGTTTATGCATTCTATTGTTGGATTGTTTTCATATGTAGAACTATTACAAATACTACTACTGTGTTGCAAGTAGCATGTATGTGGATTTCTCTAGGATATAACCCAACTGCTATGAGTTAGGTCTGGTTTGTTCCCTCTAAAACTCATGTTAAGAGTTGGTCCCCAATGTAATAATAGTACTGACAGTGTTGGAACCTTGAAGAAGCTCTAACATCATGAAAGGACTCAGGCCATCCTCAGGGGTTTAAGTTAGCTTTTGCAGGCGTAAGAAAGTTCTCACTCTCATAGGACTAGATTAGTTAGCCAGGATGCAGGTTGTTGTGAAGTAGGGCTGACTCCCATATTGTCTCTTTGGATCATTCTCACGTGTCCTTCCACTTCCTGGCATGTTGTGAACATAGCCAAGAACCCCTAAGCAGAAGCTGAGCAAATCCCAGTTCCACATTCTGGAACTTCCTAGTTTCCAAAATTGTGATCCACAGAACACTTCTTTCCTTTACTAATTATCCAGACTGTGATATAACAACAGAAAGTATTATTATTACAACAGAAAGTATTATTATAACAACAGAAAGTAGAGGAAGACATCAACTATATGCTATCCATAAGATAACATTGTCACTATTTATAGTGATAATGACAAATTGGAAGTAAAAAGGATTTTTAAAATACATACTATACAAACACTGATAAAATTATCAATGGCTAAAACAATGTCAAATAGACATTGAAATAATAAATAAAATTTCTAAAAATAAATAAATCAATAAATAAAATTTCTAAAAACAAGGGTGAACAGTATATAACAATAAAATGATTAATCCTCTAAGAACATATAGGAGCTTGAAATACATCAAACAAAAAACTTCAAAACACTTGATGAAAAACTGACATAGTGAAAGGAGAAACAAATTTATAAATTTATAAATTTACAAATTTATAACAAATTTATAGACAAAATTATAGTTGTGATTTCAATATTCCACTTTATTAGTCTATTTTTCATCACTTTGAAATACCTGAAGCAGGTTAGCTTTATGAAGAAAAGAGGTCAATTTAGCTTGGTGTTAGAGGATCAAGGGCATGTTGCCAGCATCAGCTCAGCTCTGACAAACATCAAGGCAAGTGGCAATGGCAGGAGCAAACTCTAGAGCGAGAGAGCACACCTCAAACAGGACACCAGAGACTGATGTCCCACAGTCCCTTCCAAGCTCCTGTCTTCCACTGACCTAAGAGCCTCTCAGGGGTTCCCACCCTTTACAAATCCCCTCATGTGGAGAACCATGATTCCAATACATGAAACATTGGTGGACAAATTGCACCCACAGTGTAACACTGTCAAACTGATAGAAAGTCGGTGGGAGTGTAGCAAATGTTAATAAACTCAAGCAATGAATCTACCTGAGTTACAGAACACTCCACTCAATAGCAACAGAGCACATACTCTTCTTTTTTTTTTTAAGACTTGCATTCCCCAGCAAGCTCTTTTTTTCTTTTTTTAAGATTTATTTATTTATTGGAAAGTCAGATATACAGACAGGAGGAGAGACAGAGAGGAAGCTCTTCCGTCCAATGATTCACTCCCAAAGTGAGCGCAATGGCTGGTGCTATGCTGATCCGAAGCCAGGAGCCAGGAACTTCTTCCGGGTATTCCACGCGGGTGCAGGGTCCCAAAGCATTGGGCCATCCTTGACTGCTTTCCCAGGCCACAAGCAGGGAGCTGGATGGGAAGTGGAGCTGCCGGGATTAGAACCGGCGCCCATATGGGATCCTGGCACGTTCAAGGCAAGGACTTTAGCCGCTAGGCCACGCCTACAGGCCCCACACACTCTTCTTATGCTTACAGACCACATCTCAGATCATATCAGAAGTCTTAAAATTTTCCCGATTAAAATTAGATTGAAAATATTCTCTCAACATAATGCAAATGAGAAAAGATAGAGAGAAAATGTCCAATCACTTCAAAATTAAATGACACTTATAAATAATCCATGGTCATAGGCAGTCTTAAAAATTATAAGGGGTGGACGTTGTGTCTTAGGAGACTGAGTCACCTCAAGGGACACCCACATTCCACACTAGATTGCCTGGTTGGAGCCCTGGCTACTCCACTTCTCTGATGCAGCATTCTCCCAGTGTTCGCAGGAGGCAGTAGAAGGTGATTCAACACTTAGGTTCCTGCTATCCAGGAAGAAGACCTAGACAGTATTCCTGGCTACCAGTGTGCCTGGACCAGCCCCAGATGCTGTGGAGTCAATCAGGAGATGATGATGATGTTGATGATGATGATGATGATGTGTCACTCTGCCTTTTGAATAAATATATAAATCTTTGAATACATAAACAAATCATTCATAAAATAGAGCAACATCAGCAAAGTTCCAGTGTAAGGGGGTCTCTCACACAGACCTCCCCTCCCCCATAGCAACAATAATTTTTCCTCCATCCACAGGGAAAATGTTTCTTTGTGGAAGCCTTGGGATTGGGATAGGAGGTTGTGAAACTCCAGTGTAGTCCATAGTCTAGAAAGTTCATTTATCAAGAGTAAACTCACATCTGAGAAGTAGATCATGCTCCTGACTCCAGACCCAAAAGTGACCCTGTCCCACTGCAGGCAAGGCTCCAACCCCCTTGGCCTTGATCCGGCTATCAAAACCATCCATTAAGAAGCCCAGGGAGGGCCCGGCGCGGTGGCGCAAGTGGTTAAGTCCTCGCCTTGCACGCCTGGGATCCCATATGGGCGCCGGTTCTATCCCGGCAGCCCTGCTTCCCTTCCAGCTCCCTGCCTGTGGCCCGGGAAAGCAGTCGAGGACGGCCCAAGGCTTTGGGACCCTGCACCCGTGTGGGAGACCCGGAAGAGGCTCCTGGCTTCGGACAGGCATAGCATTGGCCGTTGCGCTCACTTTGAGAGTGAATCATTGGACGGAAGTTCTTCCTCTCTGTCTCTCCTCTCTGTATATCCACCTTTCCAATAAAAACATAATAAAAATAAATCTTAAAAAAAAAAAAAAAGAAGCCCAGGGAATAATCACACACAGCAGTGCCTCACAATACAGACCCCCTCACCTCCTCCTCAGCAATGGGCCCTAACCCTGGAAGGACCCTCTAACCCG